ATGATAATCAGATCAGAACTATACATGATAGAGAGAGGGAGATGATGGCTTTTTTGCACTTTAACCAATATCGGTACCTCCTCAGCACATCATGCAACATCTTTGATCATATACTAGTCCGTAAGCCTAATTGAGCGCTTTATAACGCTTCTCGAGAGAATATCTCCTCATGGCACGCACCTTGTAAGTTTTCCAAGCCACTCCTGATGGAATTTAATGCGAACCTTATTATTTCACGAGAGAAACATACTCGGAGGAGCTAAAATTACCAGAGATAACAGCTGGACGTCTTGACGCGCACTTAGTGAATCTCGTATCCAGGTATGCCAAAAGGGGCACATACATGGCGGAGTTCTCATAGCATATCTATTTGTGGTGTCTCACGGTAATTATGTTGCTTCGAAACCTCGGACTGCGAGACAGAGGACGTAGGCATGCCTCTTTTCTCGTCAAAATACCTGTTACGATCGGCCTTCACCAGTAGAAATATAGACGGAAGGAAATCAAAAGCAATGCAACCGTACAGATCTGGACATCGACCGAGAAGAAAAGAGGAAAATCTTCACCCCTAAAAAGATACTTTCTGTTGGGTACTCGCCGCAGGAGGGTGGGCTACTTTTCTAAGAAGTTCTGTCTATGTGAAACTCTTCACTGAGCCCAACCTAAATTAATCCGTTCCTTGAATATTCCGTTATGAACTTCTAATTGATGCATCCTCGTACGGTATAAGCTGACTGACGCAATATTGCGAAGAGAAGTTGAACTTAAAATGATGAATTCGGCCACAATAAGAAGAAGAGCGAAAAAATCAACAAAGAGGAAAGAGGAAGAAATAATAATGCGAGTATTATACGTAAATAATAGTTGTTGCAAATTACCGTAATTAAGTTAAAAAGAAAACATTATTTGAAGGTTGCCACATTCACAGCTTGCCCGATGTTTTCAGCTTAAACAACTTAAACGTCAAACAAACGCTTGGCAAAATGTAAATAACACTTAAGTGCGCATACTTACATACATACATACATACATACATACAAAGTGTAAACATAATTGACGCACCTTCTTCAAAATCACACTTTACTACGCTGCCGCGCTCTAACAGCCAATACACTAAAACAACACAACAACAGCAACAACATTATTATTTATTGTATACCGGCATCATTTTCATCTTCATTACGAACTAAATAACGATCACCTGTAAGATCGGGCAATTTGTTTGCATTGGAAGTGACCGAAAGGCGGATGAAAAAAGGAAAGCAAACAAATCAGAAAATATTTTAAGAGATGAACAATGTGGTAGATAAAAATGTACATACTCTTAACTGACATTACATACATTATTACTATATACATGATTGCAGCATAGTAAGAGCGTTGCCAGATTTTTTAATAATTACAATGTTAAATTTGTGTAAAAAATGGTCAAAAATTATAAAACAAAAGAAAACACACATAACATACATAAATACTCTTTCGTAAAAAAGTAAGTATATATTGTTGTACTTTTTTATTAACCACGTAAAAAAAATTTCAAAAAATTTTTTTGGTAATTGAAGAAATCTACAATTTTGCAAATAAAATGCATGAAAACACAAAAAAAAAATATTCAAAGAATTATTTAAGTTGTCAATAATAAAAAGATCACGATTTAATTTCACAATAGTAAAGTTGGCAACACTGCCAAGTAATATAGAGATGTTGTGAAGCTGCTGGAAAGCCAATAAACTCACTTTACGTACATACATATGTATTGAACAAACCAAGTTGTTGTTTGCTTCGAGGCGATTGAAATAAACAAAGTACATAAATACATATGTACGTGTACATGCTTATGTACATATGCATGCATTTTTTTCACTTGTAAGTAAGCCTTTAAAGGTAAACACTTGAAAACATTTAATCCGAGAATAGAGCGATAAATTAAATTAAAAAAAAAAACAAATACATAACAAAGCGACTAAATCAGAAATTAAGAAAACATCAACAGCGCTAGTTAAATAAAAAAATGCATAATTTTTCTATTCATACTATTGGATTTTCGTCTTTTTAATTTTATTTATATATTATTTTTATGTTTTATTGTTTTTACTTTATTTTTCAACTTTTTTGTTTTTCATTCTATTTTTATTTATTTATTTATTGCTTTTGGAAATTCAAAATTTAGCGCAAATATTGATATAAATTAAGACGTACATATACATATATATATATATATATGTATGGGTTTTCAGATATTGTATGTAGCCACGAATGCATAAATATGTAACTAATGTCGCTCAATTAATGAAATTGTTTTTTAATTTGACAGCAACTTGAAAATATGCGGCAAAAAAAAATTAAAAAAAAAAAAACAATAATGATAATTTTACAAAAGCAATAATAGTAGAACTGTAAAAATCATTTGTGACATGTTACCTGCACCTCAACGCACCACCAACGTCAACATCGCTTAAATACATACATACTTTTACGCGGAGCCTACATTGTGCATTGTACTGATAAGAAAGGCAGATATACATACATACATATGTAAATAGCCGTAAGTGCAGTGGCGTAGCTAATATTCAGAAAAATGGATGAGAATCGGGTTTATTGAATTTGTATTAATTTAATTTATTTTATTTTATTTTATTTATTACATATTATTAAATAAAATTGAAATCCATTTATTTCTTTTTCTCGTTCTTTTTTTATTTAATTTTATTTTATTTTATTCGTTTCCTTTTAATATATTTTTCTTCTTTTTATTTAATTAACTTTTATTAAATGCCATTTTGATTTATTTTATTTTATTTAATCTATTAATCGTTTCACTTTATTTTATTTACATTTTATTTTACTTTTGTTCAATTTTTTATTTTATTTTGTTTTATTTCAATTTGATTTATTTTATGTTGATTTGTTTTATTTTCTTTGATAATAATAATAATTTTAGTAATTTTGTTCTATTTTATTTTGCTTAATTTCGTTTTCTTTATTATAATAATGTCATTTAATTTAATTAAATTTATTTTTATACAATTAAATTTACCCAAAATTTTTATTATTATATTTACTTTATTATCTATTAATTATTTCATTCATTTCTTTTGTTTTCTATTTTATTTATTCCACTTTATTTATTTATTTTTTTTTTTTTTGTTGAAGTTTTTTATGTTTAAAACTTTTTGCTTTATTTTTTATTTTATTTTAATCTCATTTATTTTTTTTTAATTTCTTAATTATTAATTTGTTTAATTTTAATTTTAATATTATTTAATTTATATTTTCAAAAAGATATATGTATGTATATATATCATATCTACATACTCGCATGTACGCACATATGTACATTTGTAAATTATTGCCTGCTGATATTAATGAAAAACTTTACGAAACACGTACATAGCAATACGCAACTTCTGGGAATTTTCTTTGCATGCGATAAAGTCGACATCACATACTCGTACACTACACAGCGTCCGAGCGTGGTGTACGAAGCCAACGACCGTCAGAGGCGGCCCAGCCGGCGATCCGCTGTTGTCATTCACTACTTGAGCTGTCATTCAACGGCTGTGCGTGCTTATCTAAAGTGTCTGATCTTTACATAAAAGTATGCGCGTACAAACGGACATGCAGGTCGGTGTGTTTGTGTTGTTCCATTTGTCTTTAGCCGCGCATGCGAAACGCAAAGGCACGCATCTCAACATTCAACACTCATCAAAGCCATTCTGTGTTTTCAGCGGCACAGCGCAGCTACTGATTGTTAGTCGACAAAGCGAACTTAGAAACTCGCTCTACAATTTGAAAATGAGGTTAGAACGAAAGTGGGTAGGCGGTTTGTGGGGTGGAGGTTGAAGAGGTGTATGTGTAAACTGATAAATGAGTTGAATGCGAAACTATTTTGGATCTCAGTTGTTTTTGAATAAAATATGTTCGGTTTAAAACTCAAAATCCAGTCTGCAAAATACACTACCCAAATGATTATCACTCTAAGAAGTTTTTCTTGTTATTCTTGGAGGATGGGAGCTTGTGTTAAAGTCGATGCAAGTGGCAAGAGTTTTTGAATGCCTTTCCCCGGAGTGTGGTCATCAGCAAAATGTGAGAAAGCGAAACCCTAATAATAGAATCCTATAAAATAACGAGCCCTGAAGATCGCTCGAATATTATTTTCAGGAGTTTAGGTTCTTTGAAGTGAGGTTCAAAGTCTCGTTTAACATTAAGTTAGTATCTGGAAGAGTACCTTATTTTTATTAAATACCACAAAGTTTTATTTATTTTTTTATAGACTTGTCTAAGGAAATGTCCTGAGGCCACTGACCACGCTTGTATGTTTTCGGCAGAACTTGATTCTCTGGAGAGTTGAGGTAACAGAAAGGTCTCATGACTCGAATGACACCACATTTTGTGTGCCCAAAGACTATTGCACTGGCAACATTTTCAAAAACAATGTACAGGCAATTTGCAGTTAGATAATTTTCGGGTTGACCAAACGTGAATCCAGCACTTTTTCTCATTATTCACCAGACCAAGCGGACGGCTTTCTCTTTGTGCGGACACAATTCGACGGCTGAGTTTAGATCTGAATATCCTTGGAATTCCGTTTATTAGACAACTTTCTCTCCCACAAAGAAGAGTTTAAGCGATTTCTAATTATTTACCGAATTAAATACGGGTAAGTGGACCACCTAAAAATCTTGAGAACACCAATAATGCTGTGTTAGCTTAGTATACTTAATAGACCACACAGCTTCATAAGAAGCCCAGTCATCTCTACTCATCTTTTTCCGCGATTTCTAGGGCACAGTTTGCCGTTTCGAATTTAAGTCCGAGCAAAGTTGGCACTAATGTGCCATAACACGTTACGCAGTTACACCAAATTATTTGGGAACTGTTTAGGTACCCTTCCTTTTCTTAAACCATGATTGTCTATTTGCCGCTTATTATATTACATACAAAAATTATGCTCGTTCTTATTTAAGTTTTTTCATTAATAAATTTCATTGGTTACCCACCCGCAGTTCGGCTTCCAACTGGTTGCTGTGTCCTGCCAAATTTGGCATAGCTGTCATATTGTAGCCCAGACCCTGACATGCTGGCACTGTGATACGTTGACACTGTAATCCATTGTTGGCATTGGCAATGCCCACGTTGCTGCCCCCACCGCTGCTGCTGTCCCGGCTGCTACTACTACCACTGTCACCGACAATGCTGCCGCTGGACATGAGATGATTTGCTGTAGCGCTAGAGGATACAGCGTGCGTTGTTGTTGATAGTAAATGCAGGATAATGCAGTAGATAAGCGGGGTGACGAGGAGTTTGTTGCACGTGGTGCCAACACGATAGAAGTTTTTGTGTTTTGAGCACATTTTGTTATCGAGTTGTTTGTGGAAAGTACGTAAAAAATTGTTTTTTAAAAAATGGTTAGGTTCTTTTTTTGAAGATTTGAAATTTTTATACATATGTACATATGTATGTATTAACAATTTTTCATACTGAGTTGCCACGACTTCACTATAAATATCTTTTTCTAACTCAATTTTTGTGTATAAAACCGATTTTCTCACTTTAATCACTTTTTTAACTTTTAAGTAAACAACTTTTGTTGGTATTTTTTTTATTTTTTTAAATTAAAATAGCATTCTTAAATTTTTCATTTATCTTACACTTTTATTGCTTTTGTGCTTATTGTTTTTGCGGTTGCTTTCTGCCTTGAATTTTTTATCTTATTTTCACTTTGTTTTGTTTCCTCTTTTGAACATTCACTGCCGCAGCAACAAAATAATTCTATCCATACAGACGTTTTTATGGGGCACTGCCTCTACTCACACGGGCCACAGTGTTGTTGCTGTTATTGTCGGGCTACATGAAAAAATAACATCAAAGAGCGTGGAATTCCCTCAAGCGCATCGAAAACACAGCACAAAAAAATTCAATGAAAAATTCACAAAAGAAAAAAAAATGGAAAAAAGTGTACAAAGAAGACCAGACCGCCGCTGTGTAACTGAGTCAGGCGGCTCGCCGGATACCTCAGGTAGTCAACGAGTTTTTGTGCGTACAAACATACATACACACACACGTGCACGCGTTAATGGCGAGCAATCAGCGAGACAGTCCAATTATGAGTTTTACTTGTTTTTTTTTTTTGGTTTTTCTTCAAAAATGTGTAAGAAATCTCACACACGCACTTTATTCAGCACAAGCTCACCTACATACATACGTACACACACGTGTTGTCATTACACATTATTTTCATTGTTTGCTTTTGTATTTAACTTCACTATCTTTGCGTTAATTTCTTTACTTTTCTCGTTATACGTTTGCCGAGCGCACAGCGAACAACGCACCGTTTCGCTCAAAATCCATTTGAAGAATTCTTTACGTTTCCATCGAGCAGCTGTTAATATACGCGGCCAATAAGCAAGAGGCACTTCGAACTTGTGCGCTTTCGAACATGTTGCATGCAACTGCCAATCAGACCACTGCCGTTCTGCTTTTGTATTTCGCGGCAAAATTTCTTTTATCTTCTGCACTTTGAGTTTTTCTTTCGTTTTCCTTTTTTCCTTATGCCGGTTTTGTTTATTTTCTTTCGCCTTGGTAGATTTGTTGTTCACACCGTTCGAGCTGGTTCGATCGGAATGTTTGGTTCGATTACGTTTGGCTTGCAGCAGAAAATTGGATTTTCTGGTGGAAAGGGCGGGGGTGTTGCGGAAAGTATAATATTCTTTCTCATGAGTGCGCTCAGGTGTAGGCAAGCTCTGCCTTTTATGGTTTAGGAGCTACGTGTGAAATCGAGAAAGTCTGTTGGAGACCTTGACTTAGTTGCCAGTAAGATATTTCAGATGTAATGCCGGCTTCTTAGATTCAAGGCGTAGAATCAGTTAGAGAATACGTATGTATGTCCTGCCCCCCGCCACTCTTCTTGAATGACTCTAGAGCGAGTTGAATATTTGTTTACATATGTACGTAAGATACTGTAACTCAATCAAGAGCTTGCCACAATTTTATCTTTTTTTACTTACCTGCGATAGGTTTAGATTTTAGAGGTTGGCAAACACTTACACAGGAACGTAGAGAGTACGTGCGGTGTCAAAAGATCTAATGAAACTGTGCTGAGTCCAAAATTGCGAACAAGTAGCGACAGACCGTCGGGGTCAAGGTCCGGTCCCTTTTAAATCCCAAATTGGCGAAACTGGCGCTCTGACTGACCTTAAGCTAGTAAAGGAAAAATACTGGCTTTTAGCTGGATCTTTCCGAAATTAATTTACGACCATTCTATAGAGAGGAGGAAGCGTAGAACAAAAAGATGGGAGTGTTTTTCTGTATTTTCTGTATCGATTGGTTTGCATTCCGGCTGTTATGCAAATGGTCACGGCTTAGCCTTAGATAGTCCTACATTCAAGATTACAGAAAATTAATAAAAAAAAACAAAATTTAATTAAATTTTCTATTTGCTGTGGCCCCTCGACAGGGAATGGGTACGGATGGCATAAAATAGAAAGCTCCCCTTAAAAATCGATCAGTCTTTCGGAGGCGAAGATTTTTAAAGATTTTTATGTCTAATACAGAACTCAAAACTGAGCACAGTCTTTGGGCTTTGAAACCCAGACAACCAGTACCTTCCAGAATATTTTCGTGCAGAGAAAGTTCCGTTAGAAGTCGCAGTCCTATTCAAGAAATACTTCTTAGGCATTGGTTGGAAAGAGGGGTTGATGACCTGCACATCCCAATTAGACGTTTGCGTACAAATGTGTGTGACCAGCTCCGTAAGGGCAGAACTGAGAGCATAAATAAAGGACGCTTTGTCATCTAATAAGTATGCTCTAGCTTGTGGGGATGATATCTCAAAGTTAAATGCCCCGTCAATACACCCACAAGAACGCTAAGTTCTCTTTTCCGACGTACGTTGGAAGCATTTCAGGGCTTTAAGTGATCCACCATAGCCCGCTACTTTAAACAGAATTTGAAGGCCCTGAATGATCTGAAACAGTCGATGGTGATAGTCTCGCCAGTAGCACCAGCGCGGGCTAGCTTATCTGCCTTTACATTGTCTTCTACATCCGTGAGACACAAGTTTAATGTAATAGAACCCTTAATTTCCGCTTGCTTCTCTACCAAAAACCAACCAAATTTTACCTTTAAAGCAGTTGGTTTCAGTAATTCCCACAATTAGCATTAATAGAATCCTGAGGACCTACAGCCTAGTTGTAGGGTACCTTCGGTATCTTATAGATTAGCCAGTCAGTATTTTCTGTCCATGGATTCACAGATGCCGAGTTCTTTTGCATATTATCTAATCTTATGAAGATATATGTGTACTTTTCGCAGCCCTAACTAAATCTTCATCTCTAAACCTCTTCACTTTTGAATCTTCAACGGCTTAAGCTTTCAAAGGGTTTACTGCGTTAAATTGAATGGTACGACTTATTCAGTAAAATCCTCGAAGTCGTAGTAGAACCTAAGAAATAAGAAGTACGGCTCACGATTATAGCTAAATCAACAATATCTCCCCAGTTGGTGGCGAGAGGGAACGCCAAGCGAAGACAGAACCTTTTCCACCTGATCTTTCCAACTCTTCCTATAATTGCCCGGCGGGTACTGCGTCGAAAACTTATAAAGCTGTTGTTCTTTCATCCTCTTCTGGTTAGTCAATATCTGCTTAACTCTTTGAACTACGTCGCTGTTCTCCAATATTTCTCAGAGAGGACTTTACTCTTATAGAAATAAGTACTTTCGAGACGACAGCTATTTTCTTGCATGAGCCTTTTTCATACTGTACATATTAGATACGTCAGGTTCTGTAGTAGATGAATAGTGGTTCAAGAGGTGGATAAAGCTCAGCATTCACTTCACTTCAACTACCTGCTTCACCTTCTATAGTTTAACATAAGACACACCTGTCCCAGCCGCATCAGTTGCGTTCCCTCTGAAGTTACCCCACTGGCTTACTGCCAAGAAGAATCCAGTCTTTTGAAAACTTTGAACGCTTAATGAATAATAATTTCAAATTTGGAATGGCTTTATCTCCAACGCAAAATTAATTTTATTATTAATATTTACATATATTAACCAAAACAATGGCCACTAAAATTTTCTGTAAGCTCAACGCGAGAAAAAAAAACGAATTCACACCTGCGAACTCGCGTCGCAACACTTGAAAGCAAGCAGCAACTAAAAAAACACCAACATAAAGCATTGCATCAAAGAACCCAACAACAGCAATAACAACAACAGTAAGTGCAAAAAACATTAATTTATGAATACGCAACAACTTTGTTGCCCAGCGGCGGCAGCAACAGCAATTGCATTAAAAGCGAATTGCAAAGACATCAACTCGACAGCTCAACGGCACAGCCACTCACACCGACTTACCGCATTGCGAGGTAGCAATAAAAAATATCAAGCAAGCATTAGTGCAAAATCTAGCAATAAAAGAAAAACCTACTACGCAACAACAACGACGATTGCTCATGAAATAACAATAAAAGCCTGATAAGGAGGAGCTAAGTTCGCAAGTGGCGGGTTTAGGCGGAATACCGGACAAACTTTGAAATAGCAGTATTAAGAGATGAGCAGAGCACTACTCCGTGAGGTAAAGGTGTATATCGGGAGTCAAAGGAACGATGGTTGAATCCACAAATCATGGAAAAAAGTATGCCCGTCTTATTAAAAATCGTCGTCGTTAAGAAGAGATTGGATGGACCTAGACCTCTTCAATCCTCTCTTTGTCATACCATCTTTTTGTTTCAGCTCCTTGAAGTCTGAATATATGTATATCGGGAGAGCTTTCAAAACGCAAAGCAGATGGTTGTTTAAAGACTCCGCGGATTCATTACATAGTCTTAGTTTTGTATCGCTAAACTTTTCTTGCACCTTCACACTCTTTCCTACAGAGAAGAGCCATTGTGTCCTAACTATCTATCTAAATTCTCGTGTGGGTAGATATTAGAGCCGCGGGCACAATAAAATACTCTAAAGAAGATCGATTTTTTTACTTCACCATAGTTTCAATGAGATTGATCTTCTTGCGCGGGGGTCTATTGCAACATGCTACTATATTTCGGCGCTGGGATAGATAGTTTTCTCCATTTAAAGACAGGCAGTCGATCCGGAGATCACTGTGAGCAAGATGCTTCTCCAATCATAGCTTTAGGTTATATTTTCTCACCCAATGATGATATTCTTATTTTGATGGTTTGTAGGCTAATTTTTATTAGACCTGCTTCTTACGTAATGAGTCCAGCTCAGTCAGGCAGATTTTGGACTTCACCTTTCTAGTAGAGCAAGCATCCAATCGAATTTTTCTTGGCTTTCGGTTTAACACCAGTCCCTTGCTTCTAAACTGCTAAGAACGACTGTCAAAATAGTTATGAGATCTCCCTATTTCGTGAATTTTCAGTCATAATTTTTTAAGTATTAGTTCATAACCGTTATATCAACGAACTCAATATACACCAAGCAAGGAGTAGCGCGCTATTGTAAAATATAATTAAAAAAAAAAAATTGCCACTGCTTCAGTCTTTCGCAGTCGAGGAGTTAGCCGCACCAGTACTGGTGGCGCGCGGCGGCTCACTTTGAAGTCCGCTTTGATTTCCGGCGGGTAGATAA